GGGAGATCTCCATTCACATAAAACGACTGGGGGAGACCTTCGGTAGATTCGAGCATGCACCACACAAGACACAATTCAATCCCCACGATCCCCTCCAGATTAAAACACTTCTACCTGATTATGATCCACCGTTGCAGGTGGAGGATAGAATTCCCAGGAGGGTAATTGGTAAAGGAAAGAAACGTAAATGGGATTCACTGTCCGATAGTGTGAGTGAGGCTTATTTTTATTCTGACGCTGAGACACTAGCTGGGGATTTCAATGAGGATGATGAAGAGGACGATGATGATGATGGAAAGGAGTCACCGAGGAAGAGGAAGAGATCGCTGACACCAGGACTCCCTGAGGCACCGATCCCTGGGAAACGTTCTAGGCAGATTAAAGTGAGTAAACCTACACCCAGGAGAGGATCTGCGGGGAAGGGTATGAGGGGCGGGAGGAGGAGTGCTAATTTTGAGAGGGAAAGCAGGGGAAGGGGATCAGGGCATGGGAGGAGCACCAGGCAGGCGTCAGAGAGGATCAGCAGAAGGCCCAGGAGTACTGTCGGGGAGATGAAGAACGAGGAAGCTGGGAATAATGAAGAAATAGCGGGGAAAGTGGCGGAGAAGATGGAGAGGATGCAAAAGATCCCACAAATGGAAAAGATAGAGAAGCTAGAGGAGAAGCAGGAAAAGCAGGGGTTGGAGAGGAAACATAGAAGGGCCAAGAAGAGTTTTCCTAATAAACCACCAGGGATTGGAGCTTCTACTGGGCAGAGACCGCAGGTGAAATCACCAGTGAAATTGGAGAAGAGTTTTGGTGTTCCAGCAGATGCTGGACCTCTTAGCTCGTTGATCAGCAAGGGTGCTGACACTCTGGCTAAGCAAATGGGTTTAATTATTGAGGAGAGTATCAAACAGGCCACTCAGGGGGAAGGACCTGTGGCTGGAATTGTTGGAGCTGATCGAGCTATTATTTTCGACATGAAGCTCAGGATGGAGAGGATCAAGTGGGAGCATCAACAGGAAATTGCTGAGTTGAAGCAGATTTCAGGTAGATTTCATTTGAATTCGATTTTTGGTATAATTCCATTATTTAAAATTGTTTAAACACCAAAAATAAAAGGGTAGAATTTCTGAGTTTTGAATTCCTTTTGGTTTTTTTTTTTTTTTTTTAATAGAAAAAACATGGAGAGAAGACAAGGCAGTTATGGAGACCGAGCACTTGCGTGCCCTGGAGGAGCTACGGAAGACCTTAGAAGAGGAGAAATTCATATGTATAGCAGAGACAAAGGGGAAGCAGTGGTGCGTTGGTTGTGGTGTTGAGGCCTGCATGAACTGCTGCTGGAACACGTCCTACTGCAGTGAGAGCTGCCAAGAATTGGACTGGAGGAAACACCAGACAAAGTGCATGCGACGAAAATCGATAACAAATAGATCAGTTGCGAGTACCAGTCGAGTCAATGGACAGAAAGAGCAATCAGAGGCAATTCCCAAGTCAATGAGTACTCCGAACACCACGTCTTACGTTCGTGGAGCTTGAATCAATCATTTATTGCTGTTTTTTTTTTTTCTCTTGGAATTGTCTGACCACTCAATCGATTTTAGAACAGCACTGAATTGTTTTTCTTTTTTGTAAAAATTACCAGTATTTTTTAGGTATAATCTCTGTAAAATCGTTGGGAGATTGGAATACAGTGAATAATATTTACTGCCTTTTTTTTTACGTACGTTTGTGTTTTATTGTTAAATTGTTGTTACATTTACTTGGCTTTCTTGCTCTTGATCTTTCTCATGTAGAACTCGAGCTCTTTGCCCTCCAGGATGTAACCGTCAGCCCTTCCACATTGACCTGGACGACTTGCAACACAAGCTGAAATGGAAAATTGAATTACAATAGAATAATTTCGTAATTATTCCACGAGGACTTATCCTTTTTAAGAAAATAGGTCAATTATGAAAAAATATCGAATTATTATTTCTGTTTGTTTAAATATTATTTGAATCGAGGGGGTGAGATTATTTTGAGAGGTTTATTGGGGCTTTCTTACCAAGAACACGTCCAGTTGCGAATTGCTCCTCCAATGCTGGCTCTACCTTGGCGAATCGTTGTCTGGCCTTGTATTTAGCCTCGCACTTCTTCGATCTCTTCTTGTTGAGCGCCTCCTCCTCAGCCTCAGTCTGAAATTAAGCAGAATATTCATTAAATTGACACTTTTCTAGGTTTATGGCGTAATTATTCTGGATGGACCTCAGAACGCTGTGGGAATAGTGTCACCATGGCACTCAGATTAGAAAATAATGATCATCATACAATTTCGCAGTTGTCATGCACTAT